TCCCCTCCCCGTCTAAGGTAATGCTATTCTTCTCTAGTGACCTCCACCTTATTGTAAATTGGCATCCACATATTAGAGAAAATATTCAGCCATTGGTTTTTCGGGATTGGCTTATTTCGCTTGGCATGATATTTTCCAACTCCAACCATTTACTGTCAAATGCCACTTGAACTTGCAACCGCAGCACTACCCAGCCCATCCTGGCTGATAGGTTTTGAGATGGCCACTGCATCATCTCCCAGCTTGTCCTTGCTGATGGGCCACTTTAAAGCAGCTCAAATGCAAAGGAGAACTTATGTTGTGTAACTTGGGGGAATTATGGGGCAGCTCATAGAATTCACAGAAAGTGACACCAGGCCTTAGGGGACTGGGATGATGAACTAAGTGCTAGGCGAACACACACATTCTCTCTCTCTCTCCTGCCCACCCCCATCCCCTCATTGCCCCCTCATTTCTCATCACTGTTGAGATGCCTTGGAAAGCAGGAGTTCATCTGATGCATCTTTAAGGACCACCTCCCTCCCTGATTGCATCTATTTATTGCAGGTGAAACTGTTCTCTAAATACATCTGTCACCAGTTTGGTCAAATGCAGAGTATTTTCTGCCAAGTTTATACAAACCAACATTGTTTGAATGACTATAATGAACATACGAACACGTCCACATGGATCAGAATCCAGGCTTTATTATTGTCTGAAGAAAAGAGCTAAAACWTAATTCCAAGTCCATGTAATTAAAGTTTGCAGAGCAAGATGTGATTCACAAAACAGTGAAAATTTAAAGAAACTGAATATTTGTTGGAAGGACAGAATATATTGAGAATTTTTTTTTCTTCTAAAAAACCCTCTTCCCAGAGCCTCAATTTTGTAACTTCATCTGAAGCGATGAAATTATTTTCTGCAATTTTGTTGAAGTTTCATGGGGATAGCATTTAGCAGGATAAAAAAATTACCTAGATGCATGGCTCTAGAATAGTGCTACCTAAATCCAACTTGCAACTTCCAAAGATAGGTTGTCTTGAAGAGACTTAAATGTTTTTTTCTGCCATCATTATATATTTAAGTATATAAAGAAAGTTTTAAAAAAGCTAACATATATATAGGGAGACAGTAAAGATGCAAAAGGAAGGAGAAAATAGGCTTTTCCCCAGCGCTCCTGGTCCACAAGTTCTGCTGCTCTTGTCCTGCTTCAGGATTGCCCCTTTAAGGGGAAACTGACGTTATGCTGGGCATGGAATCCATCACCCATGCGACCTGCTCATGTCTTTTTGGACCCTGCCTGGGAACTTAAAAAAAAAAAAAAAAAAAACTTGGGTGGGGGAGTTCAAAAGAAACAGTTAAATCAGAACCTCCTCAGACGTCATGGTCCTGAGGCAGCACACAAGACACAAGCCCAGCAGGGGAAGCAGTCACTCAAAGAAAGGGCCCTGGGCTAGCAGGTGTATGGGAGGTGGGGCAGATGGAGCATGAGAGAGAAGTTGTTGGGTTACACAGCACCCAGAACCTCTGATTTAGGGAATTCTCATCCCACAAATGCACATAGCATGCATCTATAACAATGTCTGACCAATGCATGGTGGTACATGATGGTGGTCCCATAAGATTGTAATGGAGCTGAGATATGACCTTTGCCCACTGCCGTGGTAGCTGCCCAAGGTCATAATGCAGGGCACTACTCATGTGTTTTGGTCATACTGGTGTAGACCAATGCACTGCTCTGTCAGTTGTATAAGATACAGCACATACAATTGGGCACTCTACAGAATATTTGATAATAAATGATTTGCTGCTTCGTGTATTTATCATATACTCTAGCTTGAGGTAGCCTCATTTATCTATTTCTCCCAAGGGTCCCCAGGGTGGGAGTATTAGCAGGTATGGTGGATCTTAAGGGCCTCCAATATGGCTCCATCTCTTATCATGCCCTGAAGAGATTGTGGGACTCTGCCCATCCCCCCTCTCTCTTGTTGTGCAATGGTTTGAAATGTGACCATTTACTCCAACATGGCCCCTGCTGGGATATGCTGCCATCTGCCACCCTCATCATAAACCAAGCCAACAGGACTGCACAGTCTTGAACTTTGAACCACCCAAACTGTGAGCTAAATAAACCTCTGTACTTCATATGTAGACTGTGTCAGGTATCTTATAGTGATGGAAAACTAATTCACCATACTATCATTTTATTGTTGTTTTAGAGTAGAGTCCTACTTTATAGAAAAATAAGTATATGATAAGGCAGTATGCCACCTTACACCAGCAGCAGCTGCATGCATCTTGTGTTTACTGCATCTGTTGATCACATCAAGAAGCCACTTGGAGTATTTAATTTACACCACATAAGGTTGCATAAATATACACTATGATGTTCGTATCACCAGAATTGCCTCTGACACATTTCTCAGAAAGTATCCCTGTGCTAAACTTTCAAGAGAAAATCTTCCAGGTAGCCTAAGCTTGCTTTTCTGGGTTGAAGCAGTGTGTTGTATTTTTAAACAGACTGAGTCTACACAAATGAGAGGAACAAGGAAAGAGAAAGAATGATAGCCCGTTTCATAGATGTCATTTTAATAGCATGCACATGTCTGGATCATTATTTTCTGACCCCTTGAAGGGCAAACTCGCAATGAAATATGATAGTACAATTGTCTGATCCTGTATTGTTATGGACTTTGACACTTGAGTGGTAATTTTGCAATTAGTAATTGCAATTTTGATGTATTCTTGGGGACCAGCAGCCTCTAAGTCATGTCCGATCTTGCTTGGAGGATGTATCTGCAGAGGGCCTCTTAAGGGATAGTGAACTCGCAGATGTACCTCTTGCTACTGCGGCAGGCCTCATCRCTCCATTTCCCCTGAGCTGACTGGGAGAAGAGGATGCAGTTTTCCTTCTTGCCTCCGTTGGGCTGTGCACGGTCCCAGTTGAGGAAGGAAACGGTGAATCCGTGGACATCGAGAAACTTGCCTTCTGTGACCATGTCATTGATGCCCAGCCAAAAGTCATCGACGCCTGGCAGGCTYCTCTTACCATAGTCTCGGAGGGCATTGATCTCGTCGGTGTTCCTGGGTACGACCAATGTCCCTCCCTTGGAAATGCAGTCTTCATTGGCTTCATGGAAGTGYTTCGAGCTTTCTGAAGCAAGGTAGCATTTCCTGTGAACTTTTGTGCCTCGAAGACACACTGTGGGATGTGAAAGTACATACGTTAATTTGCTTTTGAGTGTACCATGCCTGGCGCTGGACCTGGCAGACAGCCATAAACTTGGATGGAATGGATAACATGTGACAGTGATGAGTTAATGTTTATTGGTGATTTTTGTGTGTGTGTGTGCGTGTGTGTGCGCGCTGAGCACTTTACATACACAAACTCATAATAATCATGACCACCCTGTGAAGTGGTATATCATTACCCCACTTATCAGGACATTGAGGCTTAGAGAAATCCTTACTTTTCACAACTTAGCCATATCAGTAATGTAACTTGCATAGCATGTAAAATCACCTCTACACAATTCAGGTCTGTCCCACCCTCAAAGCATTTTTTTTTTGTTTTGGTGGGGGGAATACTGGGGATTGAACCAAGGGGTGCTTAACCACTGAACAACTGAACAACATCCCCAGCCATTTGTTGTTGTTGTTGTTGCATTTTATTTAGACACCAGGTCTCACTGAGTTGCTTAGGGCCTCACCAAGTTGCTGAGGCTGGTTTAGCCCGCCGAGCCGCTAGGATTACAGGCTTGCACCACTGTGCCCAGCTCAAAGCATAATCTTCAGCCTCTAGCTGCTTTGATACACCTGTGCATCCTAAYTTATGCAGATCTGTGATATGCTGAATTTCCTTGGATTCAGATGGGATTTCAAAATGATCAAAACAAAAAGCAAAAGTCTGTTTGTGTTTGCAGAGCCCATGTTTTTATTAAGTGGAATAACCAAGACCTTGTCATACTTTTTGGGCTACCTGGGATAAARTAAACATAAATATAATTTTTGAGCACAGCTCCAGGGCCATGGTGTCCAGCTGTAGGTCTCCTCTCTGATGTTTCCTAGCTGTGTAAACCTTAGATAAATTTACTTAATTTCTGTGTGTTACTTTCCTCATCTGTAAAGTGAGGGATAATCATCATAGCACAAGCTGGAAGAGTTGACATAAATCAGATATTCAATTTAAGTTGTTGGTGGGTTCATAAAATAGGTGTAGTGACAGAATATGGGTAAAAGTTTACCCAAACTTTCTTTTCCTTCTGCATGAGCATTTAACTTCACTTTAACTTTCTGATTCTGTATCCCCGGAAACCTGAACAGGGGAACATGGTACCGTGTTACTAGGGCTCTCACCTGTCTGCAGGGCTTGCATTTCCTTCAGGGCGTTGACTTCTCTCCAGAGCTTTTCAACTTGAGACTTCAGATCTCCATCCTTTTCTGGGGTCATTTTAGGGTGGGGTGAGGTAGATGGGAAAGAAAGCAAGCGTATGATTAAAATAAAATCCTTTAAAAAGAGTTTCGGGATGCAGAATTCAAGGCAGTGGTAATTTGGAGGAAACTGGGCTGAGTGTTCGAAAAACTCACGCATGAAGACAGCGTGGTCAGGAAGACGGGGGCGGGGGGGGTTGATGAGGCTGTAACCCTGGGAACCCTTGCGAGATGGAGCTTCTGCCTCTGTCTCACCCCATGAGATTCCCCTTGTCACAAGCCTTTGGACTCTTCAGCTCTTGGCATGTGGGAGAACGAGAGCTGTCTCCCCTCCCTGTGCACCTGGGTTGCCCCACTCCTGCCTCCCTCCTGGCCCAGCTCACCCAACTCCTCTGAACATTTCTGATTACGCTCTAGGTTGGAATCCCRTCCGTACCCTCTTTCTTTGATTATTGTCTATTTTCTCCAGATCACTTTCTCCAATCTATATATCACCCACTTATTTCCTTCTGAATGTTTTCATTACCCAGGGCATTCCTGATGCCTAACATGATGCTAGGCCCATAATATTCATGGCATGTACTTTATGGTGTATAAAATACTTTCATGTTATTTTAAGTGCTCTTTTAAAAAAAATTGTAGTTGTAGATGGGCAGAATGCCTTTATTTTATTTGTTTATTTTTATGTGGTGCTGAGGATCGAACCCAGAGCCTCACACTTTCTGGGTAAGTGCTCTACCACTGAGCCCCAGCCCCAGCCTTAATGTGCTCTTTAAAAATAGCAATTAAGTGGGGAAACAGATTCCTGTTGAAAAGGAGGCTCAGTGCGGGGAGCTAGGTGATGTGGTAGGTAAGTACCAGAACTCACACTCAAACTAGTGTAGGACTCGATGCCATCTGTCCCTAGTATCCATTTACAGCTGATACATCTGGTCTGGTGGCTCCCAGCAGGGCTGAGCAATAAAGGATCAGGTAGAAATTCACCCATGTTACAGATGAGCCACTTTAGCACCAAGAACATTGAAGACTAAAGAATTTTCCTGGCTGTCAAACATCAACTTGGCTATAGGTAAGCGGTAACAAATTAGTAACCTTGGCCAAATGCAAGCTGTAGAACTGCTGGGGATTCTCTTAGACATCAACAGCTTTATAACAAATTATAGTAAATCATAAAAACAAATATTAAAAGCCACCATATCCTGTCTTCCAGGAGACTAATTCTTTCAGTATTCCTATGAAAAAGATGCTACCATTATCTCAATTTTACAGAAGAAAAACTAGAGGCAAAGAAAATGGAATGAGCCTGTGAAGGTCACCCAGCTAGTGAGCTGCAGAGCTGGGAGTGCATTTCCCTGGCTCAAGCCTGTTTTCATCCCACCCCTCTGATCTTCTTCCACCCAGGGATTTCCTCTACTCCTTGGTCCCAGGCACATAGCCTTTGAGTAGATGCTTAAAGCTTTATAAGAACTGTTCCCAGAAGTCTCTTTGTGCGGATGCCATACATAGAATCCATTTCATTTTTTTTTAATCCTAGGATTTTTTCAGGACAGTCTGAAATCTACATGTCCTAGTGCATTATCCCCTTGAACATGCTCATAAGCCAGATGTTTCCACATTTGGGTTAAGAAATCACCTTCTGGGGTGTCCAGGGCCAGTCTCACCTCTACTTCACTTAATGCTGTACATCGATTCTTAAAGTATCAACAGCTCAGCTCAGAAATACAAGAAGACAGAGATTTTCTCCAAGGCACCATTCAAACAGGAATAGACTAAAGGGCACACTTAGAATGCAAAGCCATCAGCTGTTGGGCCAGGCTTGCAAAGTCCTCCGAAGACTCTCTTCCAAGTTATGCTGTCAACTGGACAACTGTCATCCCCCTCACTCTTGGCTTCCTGCTCCCTTCTATTTAAATAAGTGGCCTCCACTGGGAGACTGTAAACACTGTAATTAGCACCAAGACAGTGAATTAGTATGAGGCTCCTGGGAGATCATTATGGAAGTCATTATCCAGGTGACTTGGCTTCTGCTGCCCTACTTTGTTGCTAATGGGGATGAACAAAGGGATTATATTTCGCTGCAGAATTTGTATTTTAGTTATTAACGCAACACATAATTTGTTGTGACCTGGGATGTAAGTAATCACAGGAAGATCTCATGTTTGGAGCTCACTCATGGCCATTTTGAATTTCTGAAAAGGTTCCCTTTTATTTCATGAGGGTTGTTACCCAGAAYTAGATATAATACGGAAATGCAAACAATGTTCCAGAAGATATGACCAATAAAACTCTATGTTGATACTTTAAGAATCCATGTACAGTTGGTTGTCATGATGCAGGGGAATGGCCACGCCCACACACTGAGCCTAGGGCGTGGACCGCAGAGATCTTTTGAAGAGACAAGTAGAGAATCCCATTCACCTGCAGTTTTTCTTGAAGAAACATAACATCTAGCCAGGGGATGGATATGTGTATACGAAGCACTTCCTTGGGGACACTGTACCATAAAGAGATGGATTGGGAGCCATACAGAAATTTACCAAGAGAACATTGTCACGACTCGCYCCAACAATGGCACAATATCTTGAATGAAATAGGTTCTCTATGGAGAGCTGTCCAGGATTTAACAGATGAATTAGATCCATTTGCCTGCCAAACATTTTGCACAGCCAATCTGGAAACATTAACACCCAATGTTTAATGGGGGTAATACTGTGACAAGGACTGGGGTAGAAAAGACGGCTTGGACTTCTGACTTCATAAACTTTTAAAATATTTTAAGCTCTTTAAAATAATACCATAGTATATGGGTGGATGGGGAAAGACCTGTTCAGAAAATACGGCTATTGCTTCTCYTCCAGCATGGTCTACTTTCTTGGATCTGATGTTGAGGAATGTTTTGGAGAGGCAATGTTTMAGTTGTGGACTCCCCAAAAAAGTATGTGTGTTGGGATGGGGGAGAAGGGGGTGGAGAGCGAGCGAGCACACATTGACATTCTCTCCCTGCATCCCTACTGGGTAACCCCCATTTTTTTTCCTACTTTTCCCAGCAGTGAAGAGAGGTGGCTAGAAAAATCTGCCACATCACCCTGGATCCTCTCTCTCTCTCTCTCTCTCTCTCTCTCTCTCTCTCTCTCTCTCTCCCCCTCCCCCTTCTTCCCCTATCCTGGTCCTCAGCTGTGTACTTCATCTACTTATTAGAAATATTGTAACCTTTCATTAAAAGGGGGAACAGGGACATGTAATCCTTTATAAGTAATCCTTTATAAGGAAAAGGTTCTACTTAGGACACCTCACACCAGACCTAGATTTTATAAATAAATACCCCTGGAAWGGGCCCTTTAAAATCACTAAAACAAAGCACAAGTCAAGCCCCCTTGGACTCCTAATGCAATCTAGACTTTTATCTTGTTGGTATTTTTTTTTTCCTAATGAAGTGAAATTGGCATCAGTGCCATAATATCCCCCTTGAAATGTCCTGAGAGGAAAATGGCTAAAAGGACGAGATGAAATGTCCCCCTGGGTCTGGCTGCTTTCTTTGTTTCTTTCTTTCTCGGTTTCAACTGCAAATACATTGTCCTAACTTAGTTCTTGACAACGTTTTTAAACCTCTTCACCTACATCAAGTCGCCCCAAGTTTGGAATTGCTTAGAGAGTCCATTTTGTTTCCGGACATTGCACGACTTTACATGTGGACATGTAATCTTAAAGAGGAGGTTTGATGCTCTGACATAAGAAATGTAAATAGGTGGCATAGACTCTCCTAAGACGGCCAGGGAATAAACCTGTAAGGTAGCTAAGGACAAGAAAGGAGCTGGCGGATACCTACAGTTCTGTCCTGTGCTGCACGTTTAGTACGATCACAGTTCTTACAAACATATTTGAGGGAACTGCTCAATACTTAGGAGTATTGAGTACTCCGACATAACGGTGGACTCTACTTGCCCTGTCATTCGTAATGCCCCAACTTCACGTACCCAGGTGAGCGCCCTCTGAAGAACATGCCATATGTCTAAGCCCACCTGATGGGTAAGCCAGAAAGTTTTTATATTACAAAGCTTTTCTTCAATAACTATAAAATCCCGCATGATTCCTTTAACTATCAAACTCTCAGAGATTCCAAAGTTCACTCACTYGGTCCCCTGTAAAATGACATGCACATGCTGGCATTGTGCTGTCACCAGGGACAGGCTCCTGGTGGGTAGATATAAACTCACCCGGCACCTCCACACACTAAGCCCCGAGGGTGGCTGGGCTGAACAGTCCCGTTACCTTTCACTCGGCGTTTGCTGTGCTTCCTGGCTTTTAATCTGGACGTGTGGCTGGTGGTCTGGTCCAGGAGTAAGGTGATCACCAGGATACAGATCACAAATCCACTCTTTGCCATGGCTCCTGGGCAAGTCAGTGAGGCCACTCTGCCAGCCCCTCTGCAGCAGCAGCTACGGAGCAAGGAGACTGCTCGGCCACATCTTGCCCTGGGTGCCCTGGGCCAGCTTTATAAACGTGAGCGGAGGAGGTTGGCTGAGCTCCTGCTGACGAAATGTTTGAATGCCTCGGCTGGCCAGGGCATAAGGTGGCTCCTTGTTCTCGGGCCACATGTTGGACTTTTTATTTATTTTAATTCTGTTTCATTTGCCTTCTCGGAGTGTATCAGAGTTCATTAAGGGTTTTGCCTGTTTTCCTATTTTTTTATTATTTTTTTAAAATCTAAAGTCTGGGAGCCTTGGGGTCTCCTTGAAGACCCAACACTTAAGTATTTTATGTGGAGCTCTGAAGTTTATTAAATGTTCTGGAAAATGAATTCGGTTCAGTTTCAGAGCAAAAGGTTGGAGAGACGTGGAGAGAGAGACGTGGAGTCAGACAAACAGATCCCCARTAGGGTGGTGAGAAAGAAACCTTAAAAAAAACCAAAAAGCCAGGAAATTTACTTCTTTAATGTGCATGTGTGCATGAGAGGGATGTCACAGAATTGGGCATTTAAACTATTGTGTGTGCACATGCATGTGTCTGAATGGCTCAGGGGGACCTTAGGAATAGTTCATGCAGTGGGATTTATGGAGTGGCTCATGTGAGTAACCCATAATGCAATTTATGAGTCCTCCCTCTGTTAGTTTTGTGGCTGCATCAATATGTGCATGCATTCTTGAAAAATACCTTAGAGTGAAAAGAATATTAAAAAGGTGAATTACTTCCATGAGAATAATGTAAAACAACAATTATTTTACAAATCTCTATCACCCCACTTTTTGCCCTTGTAGCTACTTGACCCACATTAAATCATACTTTCTCCCTGCTTAGTATTAGGGACTGAACCCAGATGTGCTGTACCACTGAGCTACGTCCCCAGCCCTTTTAACATTTAATTTCAAGASAGGGTCTTGCTCAGTTGTTGAAGCTGGCCTTGAACTTGTCATCCTCCTGCCTCAGTCTCCCCATAGCTGGGATTATAGGTGTGTGCCACCATGCCTGGCTTAYAGTCAAGTTTTGATTGACTCCAGGGACCTGGGCTGTGACAGTGTGCTTTGGCTTGAATACAGAAGATCAATGTGTATAAATCATTGGTCACACAATTGTTTAAAGTGTTCTTTGTCATCTTCCTGGATCCTTCAGGAAGAAATTTCAAGTTACAAAACAGTAATAGAATGTACAGCATTTTTCTTKATCTGTGTTGCACCCTTACATGGACAAGGTGTCTTCTTCAAAATAATTCTATATTATTTTAAGACTCTTCTTTCCCAGTGACACCTCTGACAGATTGTTGCTTTGGTTTTTTTCTTTGAGCCTGATCCTAAAGCATATACTCTTTTTCTTTTTTTGTGTTGCTAGGGAACAAACCCAGGGCCTCATGCACACTAGGCAAGCCCTCCTTCACTAAGCCACACTCCAGACCCACTTTCTTCCTTTTAATTTAGATTTATGGACCTTATTTTTCTGGAGCAGTTTTAGAGCAGTTTCCCATATTCCCCTTCCCTCTATAGTTTTTCCTATTAACATCTTCAATTAGTGTGGTGTATTTGTTACAACTGATGAAAGGATTAATGATGATACATTGTATCAATTAAAGTCTGCAGTGAACCATGATCCATGGGCGGTGAACATTCTGTGGGGTTCAGACAATGTACTGGGTTTTGTCTACACCATCACAGAATCCTACAGGATGGTTTCTCTGAAGCCCACCCTTCTGGTTCTAATGAAGCCTTGGAGACTCCACCTCTTCCCTTCTGCCTGGCGCTCCTCAGGACTTTCYGTGGGCTACTCTAATCCCCATCATCCCTCTTGCACAATCTGATTCCGTTTCATGGACTTAGATTCTCTGTCTTGGACTCCTCCATCTACCTCCCCAGTTGGATCTCTTCCCGTCGGGCTAATTGTTCCCATTTCCCACCTGAGAATTCTAGTTGTTGTCTCAGACATTTCAAACCTATTATGTTCAAAAGTTAAATTCTGGATTTTTTTCTCCCATGAATGCCCTATGGATTAAAAAAAAAAAAGTCACATTTCTCCCAAGATTACAAAGATGTTAGCTGGGGGTAAACAGAAAGGGTTTGGACTGGATTCCTCACTGTGATGCAGAAGAGGGTCCTGGCTCCTTGATTCCTTCTGTAGTGTCTCAACAACAAAAAATGCAAGAAGCTCRGGCCTTCAGAACTTCCAAATCGGCCACCCCAGATCCCGCTCTTTACCTGGCAGTCCAGACAATCTCCCCCATAACCTTGCCAGTAGTAAGTGCTACCCCAGAAATGCTCATGACTTGTCCTTCTGCCCTGCCCTTATCTCCTCCAAGTCACCAAGAGCTCTTGTCCTGACCYATCCTACTTTGGCTCCTGCCCAACTCCAGTGAACCTTGCGCTCTTTGCTGATGGGACAGTCATTCTCCACTTCAAGCCCTCTGAATCTTTCCATCCTACTTAGCATGAGGCCCAGACTTCCCATCATGGTTTSTGAGGCCCTCCCACCTGGTGACATCTCACTTGGTCCTTCCTGGTGACTTTCTCCCATCCGAGACCCTTCACCAGTTTCAAATCATTTCTAAGTCRGAGTAATTGGATCTAAGTCACCAGTTTCTTGACTTCAGAGCCATTTGGTTAAATCATTTCATGTAATACATATTTGTGAGGCATTCAGACAGGCATTAGAACCACTCCTCGCCCACAGAGCAGTTCCACATGCTTCGTCTCCATCTCTCTACCCCAGCCCTCCTACACTTTAATTCCCCATGAGTGCCAGCGGGACCATGGCTGGCCACTCTTTCCCGTTAGGTCTGATCTCTGTGTCACCTGTGCTTTCTGTTTGCATCATCCAGGAGGGTTCTACTCTGCTGTTTAGGACCCTGGAATCCTCCCTGGAACCCCCAAGAAAAGAAAAACTGGGGGACAGGAGGAGCATGCTCTCCTCCTTTTAGAGAGCACCCTTATTCTCCCTTGAGAGGGTCCCCTTTTCCTATCCTTTCTACTAACCTCCTGCCTCCCACTCTGAGGAAACAAAACTATACACACATCAAAGATAACCAGGCRGGTGGCCCCCTCCCCTCCTGGTCCTGGGGAAGGCAGGCCTGYSTCCTCTTGAGGACTGAACAATTCCTTATTTGTGGAGCAGGATGATGTCATCTGCCTTGTCTCCTGGGCTGGACCTGGGCTTCTGAAAGGACTATTTAAGAAGAGGCCCACATTTATAGCCAGGGAACAGGAACTATAAAAATATTGCCTCTAGACAAAAAGTGTTTTGATGAGGATTTTAAAACCGTCACCAGGGTCTTATTTTCTTTAATAAATGACTTTTGGCAGCACAGCCCTTGACCACCCTGTGTAGCTGGTGTGTTTATTCCACAGGTTGCTATTTTAAAGTTGCYCTAAGCTGTTTTCCAGAGTCTCGGATTCTAACCCACAAATCCATCCGGCCTCAGTGCTGTTTGTCTATTAATACTCAAGTCTGAACACGTTTGCAGGCTGCATTCAGAGGTTCAAGGGCAGCGTTTAGGGGAGGTCACAGGACTGAACTTGAAGACAGCACAGCGAGCTCAAGGGCACGGAGGAAAGATTTGTTGTGGTGTGTGCGCTAAAGTGGCCTTGTTTCTCCTGTGGTGATTACTGGTAGCTGTGACTGCTGAAAATGTCATGGGATTTGAAGAGAGTTGGTGACAGGTTTTAGGGAAGAGGGTTATCAGACTYCTAAGCCTGGGTTAGCAGTGAATGGGACAAAGATCAAAACTCTGATAGTCTGAAATTGAAGTTTCTGATGTCACTTATGAGTGGCGTGACAGTGGCCAGACTTGTCATCTCTTTGAAGCTGGTGACCTCACCTATCTTGCAGAATGGTTATAAAAATGGGAAACCATATATATAAAATAGGCAGAGCCTCATATTGTCATCGTAGGTGATCAGGAGTCCTTGGCTACTGTCCTATACACACACATCGTCTGAACTTCTCAGACTCGCCCCAGCCTCACCCCAATCTCAAAGCCTCGGTCCTCTTTGAGCYCATAGAACTTCTAAAACATGCAGTCATTGTACATTTATTTATCTTCCCTCCTGCTACATGATGTGGGATATAAGTCTTAGTCTCTCCTGAGTTTCTAGACCTGTGTAGTTCAACAGGTGACAGTGGCTGCCATATTGGATAGCATGGTTCTAATGCCTGTCTGAATGCCTCACAAATATGTATTACATGAAATGATTTAACCAAATGGCTCTGAWGTCAAGAAACTGGTGACTTAGATCCAATTACTCTTAGGTGCCATGCTAGGACTTTTTTTTTTTTAATGTAAATCCAGTAAGAAAGTCATTATCATCTGGTTTGATGAGAGTAGAGTGATGGTTCTTACATTTCTCAAATTGTAAGAGTTGGTCAGGCTTGGATCTCTCACACCAGAGCTCATCTATGGGGTGAGATCCACCTGGTGGTACAGGGGATTTGTGTCTTCCTGGGCTTAGCCAAGAGATCAGTCAGGAGGTGAGGTGAAAGTTTCTGGTAATCTCAGGGCAGTGGGAGTAGAACAGTTGGATATCAAGTTTAGGAGAGATGGGGAGTCATTCAATCCAACTAGATACTTGGGTCTCTATTTCAGAATCCCTGGCAAGTCTCTACTCTGTACCCTTCCCTTGATGGAGGACTCACCACCCAGCAAGGTAGCCAATTCTATTGCTAGAAAGTTCTGTCTAACCCAGAAGGTATTTTTCCTCTTCCTCCTCTACCACCTTTCCCAACTTATTATGACTAGTTCTCTTTCTTGGCAACCCACGAGGAAAGATTACAGCCCCAATTAGCTCACAGAGTCTCATGTTACAGCGTTTCCCCCCACCTCCATGTTCTTGGAGTTCTCAGGATTAGTTACCCTCTGGCCTCTGGTTCAGCTTTAGGCATGTGGCAGGCGCTTCTCTGGGCTGGTTT